GGGTGTGCTCCACTCCAGCTCCTTGGAGCATTTGGTAAGGCCTTTGGTCTTACATTCTAGAGGCACCGCTGGGATCCTTGGGTGTGCTTCACTATAGTCAGCTCCTCAGAGCTTTTGGTAAAGACAGTGGTCTTACAATATAAAATCCTCTCATATCAAAAGTATATCTCTTATATTTTTAGCCTTTTTAATATTTTTCCTCTATGTCACTTACTATAAACCTTCTATAACAAACTAGGCTGCAGCAGATTGGATTTTAAAGTGTCCTTTTTTCCAAGTATTTCTTTTTCTCAGGTTGCTACTGTTTTGGGGTTTGTTTGTTTTTTTTGAGGTACCAGGGATTAAACTCAGGACTGTGTGCTTGCCAGTCAGGCCACTAAGCTACATCCCTGGCCCTCTCAGATTGTTATATTTTAAATTTGACTGACTGCCATCAGACTTAAGTAACTTTGTGGTGTGTTTTTATCTTAAACCAACAGAGAGGAAAGAACAAGTTAACCCTGTAATTACAATTCAAGAATTTGTAATGCATAAGAAATGCTTTAATCACACCAATTAAAGGGAAACATAAACTCAAATTGGAAAACAAAAATACATTTATCAATTAATAAAATTTGTAATTTGATTCCTCTTATGAAACCTCATTATGGCCATTCAGCTTCAGGCTGGGGCTGTTCTGGCTTTCAGATGCCTGCAGGCAGTGCCAGGCTGGTGATGCTGAGCAAGCAATGGCCTTGGGGCTCCTGAAGCACCCTCTCATTATCTTACTCTGCACTTTCCAGCACTTTCCCAGTTTTGTATTCTGTTTATTTACATACACTCATGCACCTCCTCATTCCAGTTTTTTCCAACCTGGGTGTGGGTTTCATTCAACTCTCCCTAAGTCTGATTACTCAGCATGCCCCCTTTGTGAGTCACTCTGGGCTTCTCTCACACCTCTTGGGGTTGTAGGTTTCCTCTGACTCAATCCACATCAGATAACTCAGTACACTCTAGGAGGTAATCAGCCTCCCCTCTGTCCTAACAGGACAGATTTTCCCTTAAGCCCCCAAAACCTTACCGAAGTCCTATAGGGTGCTATTTCAGAATCATCCTGAATCCCAACAGGTTCCATTGCACTGGTAGGGGTTGGCCTCTGGACTGCAGGAGAGCTGATTCCTTCTCTGAGCTGAAGACTCACACAGTGGCACCAGAGGTTTTGGGATTCCTGAGGCTTGGACCCCTCTCAGGCCTGAGACAGCAACTCTGTCATCTACAGCTCTGTTGTGGTCATCAGAAATGTTGCAGAATCCAAAAGACAGGGGAGACCAATGGGAAACAGGAGGACTTTATTAGGTTTTAGGTGAACACTAGTTTAATGGATTAATGTCCAAAGGAAGAGTGAAAAACAAAGGAGAAGCTCTAGCTTTCATATATATATGGTCAAAGGGGTTGGTCTTTTTGATGACGTAGCAAGTGAGTTTACATGAAACAAGACAAGGGCAGTCTTGAAAGAAGACAGAGCCTTATGTATCATATGAGAACAGAGTGTCATAAACTTTGTTTACAGGATATAGTTGTCAATTTTATCTGTACTAGAACAAGGAGTTACAGCTATGTGTGTGTGAGGTGATCCAAGGGCAAAGGGAACTGCCCAAGGCTGGAAAGAACTTTTTTTTCTTTAAATCTTGCTTCATTTGGAAATGAAGTGAACTTTAGCTAAGATAGCCCAAGATGCTGAGTTGTTCACTTGCCCTGTTCCCTCACCTAGGCTTCATTAGTCACTACTCACTGTCACAAAGCCAGACCTGAATCATGTAAGTTTTTTTGTATCATGTTCCTTAACTTACTCACTTTGATACAAAATACAGCATATGCCCAATTCTAGGCCAGCTTTCCACAGGGCTCTGGGATTCAGCACATTATTTAGTGATTGATAATGTACTAGAACCTCAGACTCTTCATAGGAGGGCATTTAACACATGATGTAGTTTAAAGGTTCTTAAACGGTTGGAATTATAGAAACCTTCAAAATATAGAAAATTAATGTAGAAATGTGACTCAACCAAACTAGAACTTCACCAGGGGAACAAATCTCACCAGAACTAGGCTGGACTACAGCTCCCTAAAACACATCAGTCATGAACTTCAGCATCCAGGAGAATCTAGATAGTGAGGCTGCCCCTCATCTCAGGTGCAGTACCTTGGCACATCATCCATTTAGCTTGGGAATTCCCAAACTTGCTAAGGGTGCCCCAGATCCACCGACAACCAGCTACTCTCCTCATTTCCATGTCACCATCAACCCACACCATAAAGGATTTATATCTCCTCAGGAGGCAGGGAAGCCTGGGAAATCAAGGTTCTTCCAGCTGTGTTTGTGTAAGGTCAAGGCTCTAGGAACCCCACCCCCAATCTTAGAATTGACTTCCAAGGTCTGTTTTAGATTTAGGTGGGAACCTCCCATGTTGGAACACTAAGGCTCAGGGCTAGACTGAAAGCAGTAAAGGACAAACATTAAAGCCAGTGTGGGTTTTTTGCACAGCATTGTGAATGTTCTTAATTTTGCTGACCTGTCCACTTAAAAGTTTGAATTAGTAAATTCTGGGTCATAAATATTGTGGAAGCTGCCAAATCAGAGCTACTTTTATTAATCCCTAACCAACTAAATAAATTAATAAGGAAAGTCAGTTAGCTATGAGGGATTTTGTGGATGCACAATCAAGAGAAATAGTCACAGGAGAGCCTGCTAGAGCCACTCTGCACAAAACCCAGGACAAATTCCTACAGAAAATACTTCTTCAAGGACATATGTCCAAAGACTGTCAGTTCAAGCTAGGATTAGCACCATTCTGGTCACTGGTCCATGAATTCCCTGGATTTTAGCCAAGGAATTCTTGGCCAAAAACTGCTGTTTCAAAATATCTTATGTAATCCACCCCGTTTCTCCTTCATATCTTACCCTTGCCTTAATGCCTTACTCTTGCTTTAATACTTTTCCTTTGCCTTAATACCTTACCCTTGCCTTAACATTCTCTGAATTCAAACATAGTTTACTATGACACACAAATTCCATTGCAATCCTGTGTTATTACCCATTACACTTAATTAATATAATTCTTCCTCTATGCATTGTTTTACCACCATAAAGAATGAAACTCTTGTCCCAGGTTAGCACCTCCTCCAGCTTCTCCCTGTAGACTCTGCTGCCATAGTTTAAGGTCTGAATTAAATGATGATGTGGCCGGACACAGAAGAACCTAAGAAAGAGACGCCAGTGGTCACCAAATGGTTATGCCACTGGGAATGTTGGGCATAGCCCTCAGCTTTCAGATTGTGGTGAACAGGGACATCTATTGGTTCAGTTTCAGCTCGAACATCCTACTCCAATTAGATCAATCGTGGAAGGAAGGTGCCACTACCAAGAGAGTGGCAGTAAAGGAATGAGGTCAAATCTACCTTCATACCACCCTGTCTTCATTCCAGGACTTGGTAGTTTCAGGACCCATCCCATCAACTCTATTTCTTAAGACAGTTGTAAGTGGCTTTTATATGCTTGTGACATAAAAATTCTAAATGTCAAGTTTGCTTCATAGTAAAGTGATCCTGAATTTGAATCTCTGCCATGCACAGTGTCCTAGGCCCCTGAGGTTTGTCCTGCTGAGGATGACCATGTCTTGCACATCTGCTGCTTTTATGCCAAGCACAGGGCCTAGCATGTGGCAGGGACTCAGGCCTCCATGCTGAATGAAGAAACAGATCAGTTCTGACAGAGGAAATCCAGGCTCCTGTTGAGAAAGCCTCAGAAATGCAGATGGTATGGTGAAGACTGGGAAAGATGAAGAGCTTGAATGTAAACTGAGGTTTTGGTGAAACCATGCAAACCACTGCGAATCGGGGAGACAGAGGACAGGGACAGTGCACAAGGCTCTAACCCATTCATGGATTTCTGACCAGTTAATGTTACACAGACTCCTTAGGAGCACTGTCCTACACCCTGGGCCCTCTGCTCCACTCTTTGGATTTCTGGTTCAACTTTATCTCAACATTCAAGCGTTTTGTACTGAGAGCAATGTAAGAAAAATCCATGGACTCACGTCCCAGAGATGATTTTCTTGATCCCTGATCTAATGTCAAAGATTCCTGAATCTCAGCAGCCTAACTTAAGGGCCCTGGGTTCCAGCCACTGCTCCC